ATGTATGTATATGTGTGTGTATGTATGTATGGTATTCAGCTTTGTTCCAGTATTTTCCCACGTCCTTAGTTGTGCTTTTAAAGTTGTAGCTAAATACCCACGAAAACACACACACACACACACTCACATATACATACATGCATACATTGGTTCCCATTTCATTGTCCAAAGCAACCGCACGGTGCAGTTGCTTCATAAAATTATTTGATCATAAAATATCAAAGCATTAAAAATTTGCAACAATTAAATGTATGGTAAGTATAAGACTCAGATAAAGAGCGCAACTCAAACGGTAGTAATGCTAATAAAATCAAGTGGGGTGATGGGGGAAAAGAGACATTACATGATTATGGAATGAATTTAGAGTATGACACCTATTTTAAAGGGATACATTCAGATGACCAAAATTTCTGCGGAGTTGAACTCGTAAATCAATCGAACTCAAGGCAGTCCCTGTCGGCTTGCTTGTCGTGCAGCACTTAAACTGAATATATTTTTAGGTTCCTTGTGCAATTGGGCTGCCTTCCCGAATGTGCTTAGCTAAAAGTCGCTCTCTTGTCCCCTTCCAAAATGGTTTATTATGTTTGCAACATTAACACCCCTTCCCCAACCTTCCCCGCAGTGTTTGGAAGGGCTCTGCACGCCATTGCGAGAATCAGCGATGAATTTTGGATCGACCCCAAGGAAAATGGAGTGAGTTGATCCTGGATGCAGAAGAAAATAACTTTGGAACTGAGCCATGGGTTCCAGGGAAATCCATTGTCAACTGCCATGTCAGGGTGGGGCTACCCAAGCCATCCGTTGTTGATTAAGGCAAACCGCTGTTTTGCTCAGAAGGGCCTCATTTGGATGGGAGCCTTAGTACCAACTGCGTAATGCAGCTTTCTTTCCCTCACGTGCCCTTAAATGTTGCTCAAAATTCAATGTGCAATATACAAGCACACACTTGATATTTATGCAATGCATGCTAGGATTTCCCTCGTTAAGTAACGAGACCCGTGTTGCAAAATCTAGTGTTTTTCCTCTCACCATCTGGAAAATCCTAGCACAAGTATAACAAAGTGAACAGCTGATGTTTGGGTTGTTAAGAGTTAGGTTGAAGCAAACCAGCGCCTTCCAATGTTGCCATATTGTGCATTTTTGTTCTTGCTTATCTGTAACTTAGGAGCAATACAGTTAATATAGATATCATTTTATCCTATCCACAGCTTTTTTTGAAGACGGTAAATAGTTCCAGATCGGCCTATGCCTGTGTCTTCTTTTCATCCACGTTCTTCCAAAATTATTCCTATGGAAATGAACGGAGCCCGAATGGTGACATTGTTCAACTGGCATGTAAATTAATAATCAAAGTAAGTTGGGGGAAAAAGAATTTATTGCCGCTGGTAAAACTTGAGGGGAAAAAAGGACATCACTTTTTAACATTAATAATCAGGAAGAATTAAATTCTAAAAATATACAAATTACTAGGCCTGAAAAAAAGAAGATTTAAGCTGAATCAAACAGTTGTGCTGCATACTTTTTGACTGTGAGAGGATTCTGCAGTCATTATTTTTCCTCATGAAATCCCTGCTTTAATTCATTTTTTTTCATTTCAGGCCATTCTGCCTTTATTTCGATGCTTGCACACCCTGGAAAGAAATGTGGAAAAGTGCAACATTTACACAGACGTGAACGATTGCCATGTTGTTTTTAAGCTATTCTGCAAACACGGTAAGTGCATGGTCTGTTTCAGACTTGAAAGGCAACTTTAAAAATGTTATCGGTCAGGATCTAAAGAGCTCCTCTCTGGCTTGGCTTTGGGTTGGAAATATATTGACTGTGGTGGAATTTTCCAAGGAAGTCCCTCCGCTGTCCCCAAAAACTGAGTCCCCGAAGGGAGCGTGTGAAATGAAATTTTCTGCTGGACTTGAATCCTCTGAAAACCTTTTGAGATAAAAATGGGGTGGCTTACAAAGACGGGCTCACTTATAGCTTAACACCCTGGGATTAAATCAATAAATGGCATTTGTGTTACAGTTATTAAATATGCTACAGATGGATCAGGTGGCACCATATTTTTTAATTAACCTGGCCCTTTCGGAAAAATTCAAACTGTGTTTTATAATGTCCACCAGAGAGCAACAAATGGCCTCTTTTTTTATCAGTGCAGGTTTGCCATGGAGCTGGGTAGTCATATGTTATGAAAAGCAGTTGATTGATTTTGCTGTGTGAAGAGGTCGTACATTGGGGGGCGGAGGAGGGAGAAATAATTATTTTATTAAGGTTCTGTTAAGTGGGTCCTAGGACAGTTGCTAAATTCAGCAAGCATCTGCATCCATCACTTCTTGCTTCGGCGAAGATGGGCTCATGCGGAGAAATTGTCAAATCTTGCTTTGGGAGAATTATTTTTGTTTGACCTTCCGAGGGCAGGTGGTTTTCTCCTCATCTTACAGGGCCGAGAACTCATTTAACGCAGTTCAGATAAAGGGAAATAGTAGCTCAGGGCTGAGAGGAGGGGTCCTTGGTGTTCTCCGAGCTTGGTGGTTTATTTGCAGATGCTTCACGACCCAAACTAGGCAACACCATCAGGGATATTATCATACTTCCTATTTAATCAAGCTGAAATAAAAATGCTCTACTCGATTCATTTCACATTGGTTTGGGGCAGCCTGCAGGGAGACTTGGATTTCAAACCCTATCCTTTTCCATCAGGTGTCGTGAAAACTCATAGCTTAGCTTTCCAGGAGTGTGAACCTCTTCAAGCTGTGTTTGCAAAACATTTGTGTACCAATGTATTGAAAGTCCACTCCAGGTAACATAATAGGCGTATTAACCATGGGCTTGTTTTGTTGCGGTTGATCGGGTGTATCGAATGAAATGTGAATGGTTTTTTGTCACTGAAGGGATCTTGGTTCTATTAATTCAGAGAGAAAGAGAACAAAGAATTTAATAGGAGCGGCCCAATTTGTAACCTGAATTAATTATCCAGGGTTTTGTACGTTTCAGGCATCTGTCTGACATGTTGATCCACTTTCCGACGTACCAAGAAGAAATAACTTTAGGTGTAACACCAATGAAAGTTTGCTTCAAGACTTATGCAGAGGATGAGATGGGTGAGGATTGTGCTTCCACGGTGGGATTAAAGATACAACTTGTAATATCCCTGAACACAAGAAGTTCTGTAAGATATGGTCATGACATATTATACAATCAAATAATGTCTACTAAATATTCAAACAGCAGAGAACAGAAAAACCTTTTTAAAAAAACAATAGTGAAATATATTGTTATTCTTCACCCTTTTATAAACAATAGCCACAATGAAAGAAATATTCAAAATTACCCTGACAATGGCGCTCAATTTTGCTATTGATTTAATAGTTAGGAAGCTGTCATTTTAGCACCTAGATTCAGCACGTGAATCCGATCTGTAGTTTATTTATCGTGGTTTGTATTTTCTGATATTGGGAATGGTTTTGCATTGACTTTCAGATATATTACTTTGTGGTATGTAGTAGCTGAAGGCTCACGCTTTACTCTGCTTGGGATGGAAATGGTCACCAGCCCTGGGTTGTACACTAATCAAACTTCCATTAACCATTCTAAGAATTCTCAACAAACCTGTGTTTTTCAAAGTCATTTTTTTAAAAATCCTGCATCATTTTATTTCGACAGAATTTGCAAAGGCAACGCACACGGAGATTCATCTGAGCCCTGCTGAATTTGAATATTTTCAAGTCGGAGTAGATTCAGAGGTCACATTTTGCCTTAAAGAGCTTCGGGTAATATGGTTAATTCTGCATTTCATAAATATCTGGTGGAGTGTCTCATTTGGACAGCAGCATTAGGAAAGGATAGCGGAGCAAATGCTACTCAGATATTCTTTTGATGCTGTTCTTTTATCAAAGCTCAGCACCCCACAGAATCCAGCATTTTATATGCAGCCATGGCTGGCCAAATGTCTCCAGGTAGCCCTTAAATCTAGTAATAAACGCTGCAGTGGCAAGCACTGAAGTTCATATTTTCTCTTCCTCCCCCAAGAGAAGTGAATTAACTCCGCTCTTTCCCTTATGTTTAGGGTCTTCTGGTGTTTGCAGAAGCTCTCAGCACCCCAATCTCCATTCACTTTGATGTATCTGGAAAGTAGGTAGATCTTTATCCTTTAAAACTTCAAAAGTTTAGCGAGAAGGAATTTAAAACTACCTCAAGTGTCCACAAGAGATGCATCTTGTACATAAATGCATTTTTATGAGATTTATGGAATAGAAATATACACTTCTAAGGATTGCCCTACGCGCATCGTACAAGAACCATATATAACATGGAGAAGCATGCACGCTAATAGCATGACAGTTTTGGTGGAATTTTTCTGGAAGAAAGGAACACGGTGCTGAGAATAACCTGTTTATTGCCATGATCATAGGGTGCCTATTTTCCGAGGCAGACCGTTACATTAGAAAGACATTGATAGTTATTTTGAGGTTGAGGCGGGAAACCAGATTCAACATGTTTTGGGGACATGTTTAAACAAAGGAAAAGTTTTCAGTTGCAAACAGTGGTTCTGCTTTTGTAGCAAAGCAGCCAAGTTCCATTGTTGAGGAGATAAGCCAGCATGTGATTGATCTTGATTAAAATGGAATTCCTGGCTTTGGGAAAACAAAGGTACCTCTCTTAAGACTGCCCTCTCTAAGAACCTTTAGACCAGGGGTGTCCAACCTTGGCAACTTTAAGACTTGTGGACTTCAACTCCCAGAATTCCTCAGCCAGCTTTGGAGGAATTCTGGGAGTTGAAGTCCACAAGTCTTAAAGTTGCCAAGGTTGGACACCCCTGCTTTAGACAGACAGGTAAGGCTCCAGCACTGTTATAACCCTGATGGGATTAGAAGGCCTATTTTGGTAGCAGGAACATGTCTTGCATCCTGCAGGTGCCTGGGGCTGTTAATTTGCATATGCAAATAGGGGAGCAGGAAAGAGAGGGAGGAGGGAAGAGATTGCAATAGGAGGCGGGGTGGGGTGGGAGAAAGAGAGGCAGGGGAAGCTACAAATATTCTTTTTTATTCGGCGGTGGGGAGAATTTGCCGCTTTATTTCATTATTTCGGCATCTCGAGGCCTGCAATCGGCGAATGAAAAATTGAATGCTAGCAGGGAACGTTGTTGTATCGCGCTAAGATGGATTGGCAAACTATGGTTTAGTCGGGGATTGGGGGAGCGGAAATACGGATGCAATTTGGGAAACTGTTCCATTCATGCATCTGCCTGGGAGGCGAACCGGCCCCTGCATCCCTTCAGATCCATCCTATCCCGCTCTCTCTTAGCATGTTTTTTGCATTTCAAGGCCCCTCGCCTTCAGCATCGAGGATACGGCAATAGAGGCCCTGTTTGTTTTGGCCACTTTATCCGACACCGAAAGCTGCACAACGGCCAGTAAACCAACCTGCCTTGAGCAAAGCCAAAACAGGTAATCTTACTTGCAGGCCAGGTTTTCTTCTAAAACACTCCATTTTAGGTAAAGGGGCCTTATCTCTCCCTCCCTGGTATGGAGAGTGGAGGGAAAAAAGTCAAGTTCTTGGAACGAACTTCCTATTAAAAAATATTTTTGTCCTCATCCGAAAAATATCCCAAGCAGCAATATGTGTATTCCAGGGTCTGCAGGCAGCCAAGTCAGGCCTTTGGCAGGTCTGTCTACATGCCAGAGCAGAAGCCAGACTGAGAAAAAGTCCCTCGCGGTGACCTTGGGGGCAAATTACCTTTTTCATCCAGTCAAACGCAGTTACAAACAATCGTAATAATTTAAACTGCCCCTCACAACGTTCAACAACGATGTGACTGAAAGCCACAGAAGACCCTTAAATAAGCAAGGGGAGTTTGCACGTAAGGAAACAGCCAGCAGCTTGTTTAGCAAAGTAACTGAGAGGTTGTAATCCATTTCTGTTGTTGTCTTTACAAATGTCTTTACAAATCTCTTCCCTACTTAAAACTGTCCGATCCTGCCAACATCTTGCCCAAATACGGTGCGTGCAATGCATCTATAGGGCCTCCACTCGGCAGAAAGAAGATAATCTTAGGACAGGCCCCAAGGAGCCCTTAGAGGCCCCTCCAAGACAAAGCTCCAGGGTGAAGCGTCTAAAACCAGGCACCGGAAGGGAAAATCACAACACAAATCCATCTGCCTGGTGTTTTTTAGGGGCCCTGCTGCCAGAGGGAGAAGGAATCAACACATCACCAGTTGCAGGAGAAACGCGTCCACAGCTCCCTCGGAGGGCTCTTCCACAGGAGAGGAACAAACACCTGGTCTCAACTATGATAAGGTAAACAAGGAATCCCTGCTGGTGGAAGGAGAGAGGAGAATCGAATTGCCTTAGTGAATTCGATCCGGTAGCTCTCTCTAATCCTAGCGAATTGGCTGAAAACGGTTGGGAAAGAGAGCGAGTGGCAAAGAACGGAGTTTGGCCCGGCCTTCCGGTAACGAAAAATCACCCCGAGATTCAGTGCGATCCAGTTCTTTGATCCCACTTGGTTACCGCTACATGCAATTCCTAGGTTTGGCTCCAGGTCCCAGCGATGATTCCTTTATTTTTATTTTCCAGTTTCATTCCTTCTTTTTCGGAGCGGTTTCCCCTAACGAGCAAAGCCATGCCAATTTGCTTCACAATTTGGCAACGGTGAGCGACGCAGAAGAGGATGGCGCCCACGGGCCGCGCTCTCCTACGTTTTAGCCCCGGGATGTTCCTGTTGGTGAAGCAGGCAAGCAGCTCAGTTTGGCCTGCAGAGAAATGCCATCTTTGCTTATTTTAGGCGTTCCGAGTTACCCAAATGGACGCTCCTGCTTCTTATTTTACCAACTGTTTTCTGCCAAATGTTGTTTTGCCTTCAACCTGTGGATATTGTCGTAACTTTGTTCAAAATCCTTTAGTTAGTTGGATGGGATTACTAAATAAACAAACCAACCCCAGGGGGGTGTATCATATTCAGAGGCCTTCCTTCAGTCTGGGAAAACTTGCGAGAGATCCGTTTAGGAGCGGGTTGTTTGTTTTTTTTTCTTCCAAAAACCAGAGTTAGTATATTACAATCAACTTTAAAAGCACCGTAGGATCCTGTATCTCTCGTACCTCAGCAACCAGATGGAAAGTTTTGGAAGCGCGTTCAGCCATTCGGTCGTCAAGATGCACCCGGCAGTTTTAGCCTTTCTCAAGCCGGCAGTTACCCAGGGCAACCTAACAAAAGGCAATTAATCACACCCTATTGATGCTGCCAGGGCTCCTTCTTTAAGAAGAATGAGAAGGGAGGCTGCTCTTGAAAGCAAACTGAAACCAGGAAGAGAAAATGGAGAACAATTTCTCTAGCAGCAGAGCGCTTATTAAACGCACCCCAAACATCCATAAAATGCTTTTTTTGGGGGTGGGGGAGAAAGACATATGTTCCTTTGCTGCTTCCACTGAATTCCTCATTGTACACAGATTTTTCAAGATTTTAATTTTAGTGCATCCCTGTTGCTGAGGACATGACCTGCCAGGAACCACCGGCTAAACATTTGTGCAACAAGCATATATTGTACGAAAGATCAATATGTCCCATTTATATTGCCCGTTTCAACAATGCAACACTTTTTAGGAATTTTGCTTAGTGAAAGAAAATTAAAAGGCAGACATGCTATATATGATTGGAATAGATCTTTCTTGGCTTTTAGAGGGGCCGTTTTGAGGCCTGATGATCTAAATTTCCCAACCTTGGCAGGTTGAAGATGTGCGGACTTCGACTCCCAGAATCCCCCTCCCAATTCTGGGAGTTCAAGTCCAAACATTTTCAAGCTGTCATAGTTTGGAAGCACTGATCGAAATAGAGGGGTGTGGAAAGACAACAACACAACCACAACCTTGTCTCGACAGACACAATTCAAGGAAGCCCCCCGTATATTGTATAAATACTATATTTATTAAATATCTTTACAGTTCATTTAAATGTATTTACAGATAACTATTCTCGCACAAATTATACTCCAGACATTCAATTCACATAATTAAAATTTCCTTTTTAAAAAAAAAAAAAAAAGGTAAGTTACAGGTCACGATAGTCTCATTTAACAAGAAAAAATGGCATCCTCATTAGATCAGCTACCCTCGTCAGGAGAAGGAAATTAATAATTAAAAAAAAATTAAAAATGCAAAAACCCAGGGGGTCTGGATCGCGTCTGCTTTCCCCGCGGTGGGAAAAGCCATTCCCACGATTTCTGATCTCCGCTTCCTCGTGGACGGGTTTTTTTTACCTCCTTTTTTTAAAATCCCTCTCCCCTTCCAGTCCCAGATTCCAAGTTGCTTTCTTTTTTTCCCCACTTGATCTTTGCAACAGAGATCGGGTGGGGAACCCAGCTCTGGATCGCACGGCCGCCACCAAAGGAAACGGAGCCCAAGATGCGAGCCCCCACCCTACCTCGTTGCACCTGAAACCGCAATGGCGGGCATTTTCAGAAGGCCGACCCCTGCTCCCATGAACCAGAGGGGTCTCTCACACATGCCCTCCCCCAAAAAGAAGGTTGGGGTCTATCTCTCCTCCATCCAGGTATCCCCAATTTTAAAGAAAGGAAAATGGAACGTGCCAATTCCTAACCCCAGTTGGCCGCCCCAAGTAAGAAGCAGCCCCGGCTTGGAGGGTCAGGCGTGAAGATCACTCGCTTTTTCCTTTCCTTTGTGGGGGTTTTTTTCTTCCTTCTTCTTTTCCTTTTTTGTAAAAAAATAAAACTCTTGTGCGCAGACAGCTTTTAAGTTCCCAAGGAAGAAATCAGGGTCTGTTGGGATTGAAGGCTCATCTTAAAACGGGGGGAAGGAAGGTGGGGGGGGGGGGAGCTCAAAGAATGGAAAGAAATTTTTAGCGCAGTGTATGCTTTTAAAAACAGATGGCCGGGAAAGCTATAAACTCCACGGGGGGCCTTGGTGTCCCAAAGGGGGGGAAGGGTGGGGGGGGGGGCAAGTTTTAAATATTCAATTTGACCATGGCTTGAAAACCAATTTTTTTTAAAAAAAAATGGTCCTAAGGAACAAATAAATGGCTTTACGGATACCGCGAAGAGTAGAAATTGCTTTAAAGGAAACAAAACCAAGGATAAGCCCCCCAAGGCGTAGGAATCCCATTGCTATGTCTAAAGTAGAGTGGCTCCACCTTGGCAAGCTTTTTAAGAAGGGTGGACTTCAACTCCCAGAATTCCTCACAGCTGGCAGGGGGATTCTGGGAGTCGCAGTCCAACCTTCTTAAAAAGCTGCCCGGGTCGAGCAACGGTGTTTTAAAGCACCTTCCCCCTTCCTAGTCAGCCAACAATTGCAGAAAGGCTAAAGAAGACGGCAGCGAGAATATAACCCCTGCTTGATGGCCTCTAGGAGACCCAGGACAATGGGAAAAACGGTGGGGAGAGACAGTAGCTCCTCAGGGTTTTGCTCCAAATAAGAGATGGCACCAGCAAAATGCAAATTCCCAATTAAGAGCTTACCTGCCCCTCCAACGAAGCGGGAAAGGGGTTGCATAAAGACCTACTGATATACAATTTCTAGCAGAAGGTATTTAGGTCCAGCTGGTTCAGGTTAGGATGAGGGGAAGGGGGGTTGAAATGGTTTGTACAACGTTATAATGGGCCGTGTTTTTTTTTTTAACTATTATGCCATTTTCATCCATTCACTGTATGCCACCCTGTATCCGTAACCCCCCAAACCGATCAGTTTTGTCAAGCTACGTTGTTAAGGCAATCTGGACAAAAGGAAAAAAAAAGGTGATTTAAAAGAAACCTGGAAAAGTTGGCTTGGAACAGCTTCTAAAAAATGAGTTATTATTATTATTTTTTGCCCCTTATCGTCGCAAATGAAATGCCTGTTAGAAGCAGGATGCATTGAAACGAGCCACATGTACACGGTACATGTTAAATTATAAATAAAAGCCGGAGACAATTATGCAAATGTACAGTACAACCACCAAAAAAAATAATATTTAAAACAGGCTGAGGTAACCTCAAACGTACAGTTTTAACAGAATAAACCTGGCAGTAAAAAAAACCCCTTTTTTGTGAGTTTTTTTTTGTTTTGTTTTTTTAAAAAAAGGACGGTTGTTTTTACTCGCCGAGATTATCAACTAAACATCAATGTGACCCAACTTGCTGTATAAAACATGGCTTTTTGTTGCAAAGGACTTCTGTTTCTCCTGCAGGCAAGAACAACAACCAAAAAAAAAAAAAACACACATTATGAAAAACTGACCGAGATTTTTATACATACCTCTAGGCGTTATGTATAAATAAAAACAGCTGTTTTTTGTTTCTTTAACACAAGCTTAGAAAAACGGGCTAGGGGAACTTATAGCTACTGAGAAAATCGAACTGAGTGTGTGTCGATGCGGAAAAAAAAAATAACAATACAATTCTACGATATTGCCAATTAGCAATTAGAGCCCTGTAAACATGGACTTTCTCGAGGACCCAAACTCACCACCCAAATACAAAGGCTGCCCAGTCGGGTTTTGCTCGCGCAGCGTGACGGCTGCTGTTGGAACCCCAACTCAGAACCGGGGTTCAACCTCCCTCGACGCTTCTCTGCAACTGAAGAGAGTCAGGCGATGACCTGGCAGAAAAACTCGAGCTACGAAAGGGCCCCCCGTGGCCATGCCAGGTATAATAACGGTTTAGCACCTTCACAAACTCTCTCTCTCTCTCTCGCACATGCGCACCACAATTCAAGACGAGTTGTGCGTTCCAAATTGAGTAACAAAAGCTCCTGGCTAACATCACACAGACCCAATATTTTTCAACCTGGGTGACTTGAAGATGGGCGGACTACAACTCCCAGAATCCCCACCCACCCAGCACAACTTTCAAGTCACCCAGGTCAAAATGTATCGAGCGCTGCACTTGGAAAGCCTATGGAGAATTCAGTGGCAAACGCAAGTTTTCCAACATGTTAAGGACGCGTTGACCTGCCGCTGTTGAGAAATGGGGCTTTTTCCAGCAATACCTTTCTCAGGACCTCACGGAGGTTCTGCTTGCCGATTTTGGAACGAACAAAAAAAAGGCCCCTTCCCCAGAATTAGTTTGAACACTACGCAGAGCCAATTTGACATTCTTGTTTGCTCGCCTTTTCTTCAGAGCCATAATAAGTAAAGGTTATTCCCTCTTCAGCCCCCTTTCCCCCACCCCGCTTTCTACGCGATAACTCTCGAGTCAGTTTTGAAAGACAGGCTTCAAGTATTGAAAATTCTTCATTTCTTGCTTGGAGGTGTCCCCAGGTGTCCTCCAGCTGAGGTCTTTGGGCCAGGGGTCTTGACTGCATCTTGAAACAGGCAACGGGCCTAAGGTGTGATTAGCCACTGAGGTCAGATGCAGAGAAAGAGAGAGACTTCCTGCCCGCAGGAAAATAAGTGCGTGTGAAGCTGAGAACAGCTGGAGACATACCAGTCTTTAAAAGCAGGGTGTCACAGCTGGTCAGTCTGTGTATTCAGCTACTATAGAGAGAAGAACAGTGATGTCATCGGGTTTCCCACCTAAAAAGCAAGGCGTGGAGAAGTTTTTAAAGTATTATAAAAGGATATTGAGACTCTGAAAAGAGCAACGAAGAGGCTACAACATACGAAGGACGGTTGCAGGAATTGGGCCTGGCTGGTCTAGTGAAAAGAAGGTCATGGCATGACATGACAGCAGTGGGTGGAAACCAATCAAGGCGAGAACCAACCAAGAACTAAGGAGAAAGTAGCACAGGAGCTACCAACTTCTCTCAGTTCTGCACACTTCTGCAAGCTTAATTCTAGCCCACGTGGCCTTGTGGAGGAGCCCTTGGAAGAAACCCAACCCTGCAGGAGCCTCGACTCCTGGCTGCTCCCGTCGCTCTTACCTCGTACATTCAGTCCATTGTCACATGCGAACTGTGCAAAGGGAGACATATAGTTTGGATCGTAGGCCAGCTCGTGGGCTTGCTCAGCGATGCTGCTGGCCGTCTGCTGGATGCTTTCGTAATTTGAGTTCTGGGTGGAAGGAGGGGGGGAGAGGACTTCAACGGGCTTGTCTATTTCACCTGTCAACAAGCATGCAGTACAACAGGACCGCTAACACAAAGGGATTGCCTTTTCCTGCAAGGCGGGTCCACCTTGGGGAAGTCAAAAGGCTAAACAAACCACGGACAAATCCCGGCTCCTTCTACGGCGGCCAATTTGAGTGGATCCTGCAATCCCGCAAAGCAGATTTTTAAGCTCTCCCATAGCAGCTGGCCTGCTTTAGGAATTACAGGGGATGCCCGGAGAGTAGATTAAAAGATAAACCTGCCCTCAACTTTTAAACTTTTACTCGGCTTCTCCGGATTTGTACCTTTGAACCCCGAGGAGAAGAAGTTCAGAAGGTCACAGACTCACGAAGCAGAGAGGAGCGGGGAATTTCGCCAAACCCACCGAGATCTGGTTGCACCCGGCCATTTAACGCCGAGGCAACAGGGGGAAAAGTTATCTTGTGCGTTTTTAATTTCTCCATGGTGGGACTCACTGCAGCCGAGGTCTCCAAGCTCGGCCGCCTTAAGACTGGTGGGATTCTCCAGCCAGCATAGCTTAACTCTCTTGCAATCCCTTCCTCTGCAATCTCTCTCCACTTTAGGAGAGTAAGACAGAGAGAGAGAAAGCAGGCGTGGCTGGCTGGGGAATTCTAGGAGTTGGAAGTCCCCAAGTCTTCAAGGGGCCAAGGTCGGGGGCCTCTTCCCTGCGAGGTCGTCTCCTCTTACTTTTAGTTTCTTCAGCTCCTGGAGGATCATGTAGTCGGGCATGTTGTCAAAGAGCCCATCCGTGGCCGTCAGGATGATGTCCCCCAGCTGAACATCGAAGGTGGTGCTGTCAGCAGCATCCGGGCTGAGAAAACATCGAGGAAGGAGAGAGAGAGAGAGAGAAAAGGTTGAAAGGCTCGGGGGTGTGTGTGTGTGTGTGTTTGTTTCATGCTTAAGCTGTACAAGAAACGGCGGTTCATTCTGCGCCGGCCAGATCCTGCAGCCAGCACCCTCCAGGTTCCCTCCGTCTAATCCCAGGGCTGCTTTTTCAGGAGGCGACAGGACTTCCTTATTTTTTGTTTGTCTTTGAAGACGTTTCGCTTCTCACCCAAGAAGCTTCTCCAGCTCTGACTGGTTGGTGGGGAAGGGAAGGATTTATACTCCTGGCAGACAGGTGGTCGTTTGCATCCTTTTGGAGAGCCGTTGAGGCCACCAGAGGACTCAGGCTGGTTTGAAAGAGGGGTCAGAGGCCACCTACATCCAAATTGAACATCCCTCTCTCAATGGGGGGAGGGGGGGGAAGAGATATGATGTCATCTATCTCCAGTCTTCAACACGGTCCTTTCAGCGGTTCCAAGAAGGCTCCACACCCCCATTGGCACCACTCAGGTGACCCTGAGGACACAGAGAAACCTCCAAGTGGCCTCAACGCCTCTCTAAAAGGATGCAAATGATCAGCTGTCTGCAAGGAGTATAAATGTCTATGGAGATTCTCAGCTTTTTTTCAAGGGGTTACTGGACCTTCTGGGCTTTTCTTTGAAGACATTATGCTTCTCATCCAGGAAGCATCATCAGCTCTGACTTAATAGTGGGGAAAGGAAGCATCGAGACTCCTTGCAGACAGCTGGACATTTGAAAAAGCATCTTTAGGACAGGCATGGCCTGCATGACTGAGAATTTCGATCGACGTCTCCAGCCTAATCCACACAGAACCCGGGGCTTTTCTGAATGGCCTTAAGACGAGCGCGAAAGGGATGCTTGGCTGAGCCACTGAGGGAGGTTGGAGGCACCCAGGGCCAAGGAAGGTGCCTTGCCCAGCTCAACACTTCCCAGAGACCCCCTAGGAGGGTCCCCAAAAGGAATCCAAACACATCATCGCTGCAATTTCCCCCCTCTCTTGCTCTGGTTCTTTGCAGGACGCCTGTGGCCTTTGCCACCGGGAGCTCCAGTCGGACAAAATGTGCTTTTCCCTGTCAGAGCTTGGGGTTCTGCCAAGTGGGAGTTGATGAGGCATCCAGCACGGCTGGAAACTTCAAGGGAGATGAAATACAAGCGGCAGTCATGTGCCTCCCTGTTCTGGCTGTCAGGAGGGGCTGCCTCACTGCAGGAATATGCCAGCAGCAGCAGCAGCGGCAGAGCCTTTTCCAAAATAGGAGGAGGAGGAGGAGGAGGAGGAGGAGGAGGAGGAGGAGGAGGAGGAGAGGAAGAGGAAGAAGAAGGGGAGGGGGAAGAGGAAAAGGAGGGGGAGGGGGGAAGAGGAGGAAGAGAAGAGGAGGAGGAGGAGGAAGAGGAAGAGGAAGAGGAAGAGGAAGAGGAAGAAGAAGAAGAAGAAGAAGAAGAAGAAGAAGAAGAAGAAGAAGA